CTTACAATTTTCAATATTAATTTAATTTAATAAATCGTTTTTCTAAATACCAATTTGAGTCAGTTTCAGTAAAACTTTGTTCTCACTTTTAACCGTAATTGCTGTGAAAAAAATGAGTGGTAAAAAATTTATGTTGGACATGGCAACACTTTTGCTTAGAACTACATCATATAATTTGTATAGCACATAATGCAACAAAAACGCCGTTTTCCCATACCGCAGATCTTTAAATTCTCTTACCAGATCACTCAAGATCAAAAGTTTTGAACATCAACCTTAAACTTATGACTTATGACATGATGGTAATTTCTACGCTCATTTTTATCTTTCACTAATAAATTTTTTTTCATTTCGGTCTCATAACTTTATGAGTATTGTTTCGTATTTGGCAACAAAGGCATTTATTCGAGGCTACTACCAAGGTTTATAGAACACAAGATTACGACAACCGTTGACGTCACCGAACCAACTTCGTTATGTATACAGTGGGCGGTACTTGACATTTATATAATGAAAATAAATAATTTATGTCTTTAAAAAATTGTACATAGTATATGTAAATATGGAAAAAATTTTATTTTACAGAAGAAAACACAAACCATACTATTTTTGTTTTTGCACTTACATACTAAGGACGCGGCCGTCACAGATTTGGCCATTGCTTACTAAAAAAAAAAAGGCAGAAAATTAGCAAACTAAAAGCTACGGTTCAAGGCGTAGGCTGTTTTGATCAAACCAGGGCTCAGGTAGCTGAAGACTGTATCATTAAATTTATAAAATAGGGCTTAACGAATATGCTACAATATCCCATGTGTGTTTTAATTTTTTTTTTTTTAATTTTTGTCTGGAATAGCCTGCTGAACATTTTTTCACGGCCTCGAATTTTTAACACAGTCAAAGAAAACCTGCGAAAATCGGTTTTTTATTAAATGTTTTATAAAATTGCGCGGTCGATGTGACTTTTGAAAATTTTTACGTTTTAGGCATTATTTTGGAATGGCTTGATCGTATTACATGACACCAAAAGGAAGAGTTGCAGCTATAAAAATTTTTGATAAAAAATAGTATTAATTTCTTTAATTAAACAAAATTTGAAAATGAAACTACATTTGATCGACATAAAATTATTCAGAACGTTTTAAAAGTTATTATTATTAATAAAAAATATTAAATGCAAGGCTCTAGAACTTTATAGTCAAAATTTTGAGTTATTTTTTAGATAAAATTATGAAAATTAATTTTAAAATCTTCGGCAACTCACAAAATTAAACAAACTTCGCTCTTGTCGTAACCTTGTATTCTAAAAACCTTGTATGAAATGGAAATACAATATTTTACCTATCAAACATTTGATTTACATATATGTATGTGCATACATATTTATATCTAAAATGAAAAAATTTTAGAAAAAAATTATTACAAATTTGGCTCTGGTTGACTATTTTGGTTATACATTTGTAGGTATGATCCATTAGCTTGGAGAAGCCAAGTGGTTAGCAGTGCTTAGTACTATTAAGAATATCATATCCGGAATGGACGTTGGAGATAAAAATTATCGCAATACTGAATTAAGGCGAAGTGTACGTGTTTATTTGATTGGTTATTGGCGGTTGTTGGGGTCAATGATATCAATATCATTGGCGTATGTAAGCAGCTATCTTATAAAGAGATGATTGTACCTTTTATATTCAGCGCTGCAACTCTTCTTATTTTCTCCAGCCACAAATTAAAGTAGTCACACAATAAGGAATCACCTTCTCTAAGTTCTGTTTTCGCATCGAACAGCTCGGACAAATTCTTCGGGATCCCGACGTAACTTTTCGTTTTGAATGTACCTACTTGTCATATAACAGACCTTATCTTTTTGAGCGATCTGTGGACGTCAAATAAAAATCAGCTGAGTATCTAATATCCGGTTCCACCCGATCTTAGTCTTCCTTAACAGCTTCATATAGTTTCTGTCTAACAAGTATGGAGAGCTGCAGCAAAAATTTCGACTTTGTCAAAAACACATTCATATGAGTGGTACCAGCGATCCAGATATGGTAGAAGATTTACCGTTGCTGTTACAACTTCGATGTCATACAAACTAATTTCTACCTCTCTTCTCGATAGCACATTTTTTACTCCAAACTATTGTAACTAAATCATGTTTTGTATTTTTGATAATACAGGGTGCACCATCTATGGGAATATTGTATAACTTAAACAATTTTCAAGTAGTTTCGAAAAACAACGTCGATCAAACGACCCCCTACATTGCGCAGACAAAACTTCGCTTTTTTTCGGTATTTTCCATGACAGTTGCAAGCATCTCGGGAGATATCGCAGCGATTTCAACTCGAATGTTATTCTTAAGCTCGTCCAAAGTCTTCGGTTTGTTGGCATACACTTTGCTTTTCAAAAAGCCCCACAAGAAAAAGTCTGGTGCAGGGTTCGGTGGCCAGTCGATATCCCCTCCCTTCGACATTACACGTCCGGGGAACTTTTGCGCCAGAATTTCATCGCTGGATCCATTTGAAAATTAATTAATAGCATATAAAATTAATAATATCTAATGCTATGAGATTTTGAAATTGAATAAATTTAAAAAAATGGTAAATTATATTGAAACGTTTTTATCGTAAAGTGCAATAATTTTAAACTTATTTCATTACAAAATTTTCAACTTAAGCAGAAATATAATATTTCATCTATATTTTAGAGCTTAAGATATGTGCATAAATTACATATATAGCTAAAAATTGAGCTAAAATATGAGCAGGTAAAAATATTTTTTCAATGACCTGACATTAAGTAAGTTTTTTTTTATTTCATTTGGAAAAAAAAAGGATTTAAGCATTTCAAAAATTTTATATCCGTTCTATTAATGGGCCAGTAGCCATGGAGTCCAAGCGTTTTTGCAACGGTAGTCGCAGCACCTAAATTCTCAGTATCAAAATCTGTGTTGAGTCAAAAAATGAATATTCAGTGACATGTTGCAACATAATGCCTACAACTAGCTAATAACAGCTGGCTATCAATCTTTTTGTAGTTGTTACCCAAACGGATACCTAAAAATTTTGATACAACTGTCTTAGAAGATCATTAATTTTTTTTTCAATTACTGGATTTTTTCTCCCTCCCTAATTGAGGGCCAATGAAAATACTCTCTTTTATCTGCCCTCCACTTGTTCGGTTATAATATGTAATGCTGGAAGAAGTAATTCAGATGGTTCTACAAGCTAAACAAATGGTTTTATTTTCGAAATTGATACCTTTTATAGGTAAGTAAATGTAAGCAATTCGGATAGTGATCTCTTCGTACGGTCTAAATTAGCAAACATAAGGAGCTAACGGCTTATTTTGATGAGTCACAAAGAAACCAAAAAACCGATAACTCTCCAACACAAGTTTAGTGAAATTTGGTCTTTGTTTCTCTATCTGCAAAACTAACTCACCATTCGTTGCTACACTTTCTCGACTGTTATACTTGGAGGGAATTCTAATCAACACATCACAAAAGGTCCAAGGTTGAAATCAGACAATTTGTTCGACGGGTTAGGTGTCTAAAACGATATTAGGTATCAGAGTTCGTCTGGCATAAATGAGTTGACCAGCATAAAAGACACACCACCACGCTAAAACAGACCCCCCCTTAAAAAAAATATGCTTATCTATAATGCTTAACCGTTCAAAACTTTCGAAGCGCAGCGGAGGAAGAGTTATTATTGTAACTCCAGAATTTCAAGCAATCTCCCCCCACTCTTATTGCTGAAATTATTACTGTCCGCGGATCTGAAGGAATAACAGAACAATAGTTGGATTCTCGATTAAAAGCTCATTCAATCAGGGATTTTAATTTTTGGCAAAGTGATAGGAGGCTTTTGTTCGGAGAAATGCAAAAACCGTAGCGAAAATTGGAGTAAAATTAATGAATAATTTTATGTATATTACTGATTGGCACTTTGCAGCTGCTGAAGCGATTTTCCGCCGAGCTCCTCCTCCAATTTGTGGTTTTATTTTGCGTCTTGATGTTTTTTCCAACAAATGGAGGGGCCTACAGTTTATACTAAACTGCTTCCAAAAAGCTGATGGTTTCTAATGAGGAGCTTTTGATTTTTAAGTCAGAAATACACTCGGAGGGGTTGACATTCCCTGCCGAGGGGCGACTGCAATTAGAAAATGTAACTTAATTTTTTATTTAAATTAATTCTATTACTTTTGAATGTTGATCGCACGGGAATTTGAATCCGAGCCTTCCTAATGGCAGTACGCAATGTTAACCACTCGGACACCGCGGCCGATTTAGTACGACTTTTTTTTAAAGCCACAAATTTTTCTACTATTTCATTACTATCTTACCTCTTTTATTTTTTCTACTCCCTTTCTTCCACCGCCGCTGGATTTTAAATACTCCCACTCTTGCTACTATTTTCATTGATTCTTACATTTTTTAGGTTACAACTTTTACTAACTTTGAGTTCGATCTCCTCATTCTTAAATCTTTAAATTTTCCTACTACTATATTTAAATGTGCCTGTTTCTACTACTATTTTTTCTAACACTACTGCTGCTGCTTACCTCTTCCCACTTCTGCTTAATTTTCAACAATTTCTCCTGCTGATTTGCGAAATTATTTTCTCGAAGTCAACTTTTAAGACTTTAAATGGATGTTTCTATGCTTAAACGCTAGAGTGTATCAACACATGCTCGAATACTCGTAAATATAAAATGTTATAATGCAATCCGCAATATGCACACATATAACCATATTTTGCTCGGATTGGTCATTAACAAGGAGGTATTAAAATCCTATAAAATATTCAATGATTACCGGAGCTGGGCGTAAGTAAGCAATCAGTTCAAAAGCAAATTAGCGACAATTAAAGCAGAGCCATTTACAACGCCAAATTACTGATAATTGTGCACGCACAGGGTCGTGTCAATTCAGCAAGATTTCAACTATATAAAGGTGGCACTTCCATCAATACCACAGTTACGTTTTTGACAAGTAAAAAATGGCCTTCGAAGAAAACCCGGAAAGTGTGGGAAGCCTATTTCGCACACATTGGATAGTTTGGAAGTGTTTGGGTCAAGTACCCGATCCACGCTATCCGAAACTTTTCAAAGTCTACGCTGTGCTCCTAAATGTAGGTTTCGGTCTCGGCTATCCACTCCACTTGCTGCTCGGACAGCTGGGATTGCAAACCTTGGAAGAAGTTCTGCTCAATCTCACCATAAGTGTGCCCGTGGCTGTGTGCGCTTTGAAGTTTTTCAATATATGGCGGAACTTGAGGAAAGTGCGCCATTTGGAGAAAATGTTCAATACACTTAATACGCGCATAAATCAGCGCGATGAATGGATTTATTACCGCAAAGTCACCATACCGAATGCATTAAAAGTTTTGCATTTGTTCTACTTCATTTGTGTGGGCACAGCGCTCGCATCTGAATTGACGCTGCTGATTATGGGATTCGCTTATGAATGGCGCCTGATGTACCCGGCCTATTTCCCATTCGATCCGTATGCGACGACGGGTGGTTATGTGGTGGCGCATACGTTTCAAATTATTGGTCTTTTAGTGCAGTTGGCGGAGAATCTTGTGAGCGACACTTACGGTGGCATGTGTTTGGCGCTATTGGCGGGGCACGCGCATTTGTTGGGCAAGCGTGTCGCCATCATTGGCTATGATAACCAGAAGACGGAGATGGATACTGGTCGGGAATTGGCGAATTGCATTGTTGATCATAATATGCTTTTTGAGTGAGTTGGAAGGAAAGAAAAAAATTTTTATTTTATTAATTTACACTTATTCTGTTATTAATATAATTTAAAAATTTTGGTTGAAATATTCTTAGTATCGCGTATATAATTTTTTTTTTTTAATATGCTTTTAAGAATTTTAGTTATGATTATTTCTTTTTTATTTTTCAATAAAATTTTTTTTCTCATTTTTTTACTTGCAAATGCTTTTAGAGAAAATTTTAATTGCCATACTTTTTATTTCAAATATTTTATTTTTTGTAATTTTGGATTTATAATTTTTAGTAATTCATTTTGACTTTTTTCCACATTTCCTGTCTTAAATAATCTCAAATAATTTCATAGTTATATTTTAGTAAATTTATCAGCGAAATTTGTTCAATCATTCACTAATTTCACACAATTTTATGGCTTAATTAGAATTCATTTGTCTTTAGTATTTCTTTTTACCCTTTCGACCCCAGAGTCGCTTATAAGCATCTTCTGTGTATTAAACACATATATAATATAATTTAAAATAATGTAAAAACAATAATTGTTAGAAAACGCGAATCACCGACTTACTTAATTCGGTCGGTAAGACCGATTCAGATTCAGATCTGAGAACATAAGCGATTTTTAGTGTACAAGAAAAGCAAAATTTTTGAAAAGTACAAGTGAATAATTTATAAAAATAGTGAAGCAGTTTAAAAACTAAAAGCCAAAAGAAAAATTTTTTATTGCTTGTAAGCAACTTTTCATAACTCATTACCAGGTAGGTGTCAGACCTTGTAACCTTCCAAGTTCCTTAATTAGGACCATATTAACACAAATGTAAAAAAAAATAATTTTTCTGAGCAATCGTCTATCGAAAGGGTTAAATATATTTTCTGGGAAAACATATTTTTATTTACGTTTTTATAAAATCGAATTACATTTATTTCAAAACAAAATATAATCGCTTCTTCTTGCTATAAGTTAATGAGCGATTAGTATTAACTTTTTTAATTAAATTTCCATTGGTGAAGTGTGTATAGTTTCTTAAGCTCATTTATTTTCTTAATAAATTAATAATTACTTACTAACTTTACTTTACTGCCGTAGACAACGCTTACGCGATTATGGCCGAATTTATAACAATGCGCTATTCGTTTCTTTTTTTCGCTGTTTGCTGCCAAAACAAGACATGAACAACCAGATCCTACTTTACCTAGTCTTTCCAACGGAGAAAACGTATTCCTCTGTCTCTTTAATCGGTGAACTATGTTAATATCATCGTATAGCTCCTACAGCTCACCACTCTATCGGCTGCGGTATTCGTCGTCGCCAACGTTCACTACCATACCCATATCCGGCGCTTCGTTATCCAGTCTGGAGAAAGTCGGCGTATGTCAGCAGCTGTACACTTCCATAAAAGATTGTGCCTTTTCTATTCACCTCTGCCGTTCGTATTGAATTCTCCAGCAATAAATTGAAGAAGTCACACGGTAGGGACTCGAACGGACATTCCAGATGCATGATCATTTAAACGTTTGCGGGAGTCGTCATCAGAAGGGCAGTCGCTCATTCAAGGCAAGAATATATTTTTCATTGGGGCTAGTTTCTATGTGTCGGGTCCCAAAACCAGCATACCGCCTCACTGGGCGAGTAAGTTTAAAGTTGACACATACATACACTTTTATATAGCGAGCCGCTTGCTTCAACGCCTGCTCGCAACCGCACCTCTGGTGAACAGAAGTTGGAATTAAACTTCAGCGGAACCTTAAGCCGAGTAAGTCGGAGTGGTTTCACTGAAGCTTCTTCTCTTTTAGCCGTGACGCGGGCTAGTTACCGCACCTTGCATAAGGGTTGCTCACGTCACCAGGATGCGCGCCGTGGACGCAAGAGTAGCCCCGCGCCTATAACTGCCTACCCAGAAGGTTGATTGAAGCTTGTCTACACCCCATTACACCCCAATTAATTAAGTTTTAATTCACATTTTTATATAAGTATATATTTGAATTATTATTATTATTAAAATTACTTGTTTGGTAAATTTTCAAAACCTTTAGAAATTCTAAATTTTCCTTTTTAAAATTTCGATTTATGTATAATAAATATATATATTATATATATGAACATTAGGTATTTTTAATCTAACGAAACTTTATATACTGCATATAAACAACCATATATTTATTTTTGTATTTATATTTTATTATAAATTTTCACATCTTTCCTAGTATTAAAATTTTGGTTTTTTTAAATTGTTTCTTTCAGCTGTCATAGCATTTTGGGTGAAATAATCGGCATCGGCATGTTTGCGCAAATAATCTCGGCGAGTCTTATTATGGGCATTGTCGTCATCTATATGGTTTTCTACGTCGGCAATGCCTTTGAGTATGTCTATTATAGCATATATTTGTTTGGCTGCGCGATGGAGGTGTTTCCCACCTGTTATTATGCCACTAACTTTGAATTTGAATTCGATAAATTGACCTTCATGCTGTTCTCATGCAATTGGATGGATCAGAATCAGTCCTTCAAGAAAAGTCTCATGATCAGCATCGAGCAATCGTTGAAAACACGTAGCTTTCGTGTTGGCGGCATGTTTCGCATCAATTTGCAAATATTTTTCGCCACCTGTAAGGGCGCCTACTCGGTTTTGGCATTGGCTTTGAAGTTTAAATAATAAAATACAATAGTTTAACAAAGACATTGTTCTATATTCACGAAACTAACGAAAAATAAATAAATTTTTAAAATTAAAAGTATTTAATTGTAATAAATAAATGTAGATGCTTTGATTTAGCGTTTCCAAACAAAATTATAGAACTATCAAATTTTCTTAAGATCTAAATTCCAGTATCCTCGTAGAAATAAAGATTTATAGCTAAGTTGATAACAGCGCGCATTCCGTTTCCTCCTCTCACCATTTGGCACCTGATCTTTCAAACAGCGTGGAGGTCTTCCTCCTACACAGCTTAAATGCTGGAGTACTTTCGTTCATTCGGTCAACTTGACATTCGCTGAACTATGTCAATGTCCCCGTATATCTCATACAGCTCATCCTTCTATCGGCTGCGATAAGCTGCCCTATGAATGCGCAAGTGACTCATCCGAAGAAGAGAGAGAAACTCATCAAAAAGGCTTCATCTAGAACTAGGAACGTACTGAGGTTTTGCTGCTTGTCGTCAATTGGAGGTACCAAGATACTGTAACGAAAATTTCCAAAGGTGGAATATTTCATTTATCTGAACAACGTAGATGCTGCCTGTTGCCCGCTGAACTACATATACTCCTATATATCAATGTCGCCACATATATCATACCTCTCATCGTTGTGGTGTAAAGGGGGTAATTTTGGTTCTTGTAATTGTAAGATGCGCCGAACTTTGTACCCACTTGAAGCAAAAAGTTCGCTATATAAATTTATTGTAAATATACGTCCTCGGATGATATTATATATTCTGTAAGACATCGCTAGTATTATAAGCTTATTCTCTAAAGGAGCACACACCAAGCCTAAGGACGCTTGGAAATCCGCATAGGTAGCTGTTTAACTTTCACCGTTAAGAAAAAGAAGCAGACTTCGGAATCTTGAAGGTACTTTGCTAGGCGGGATTCATTCAAGAATCCAAGCGGGCAAACAGTGCACCGGTAACTGTTCTCAACTACCTACCCATCAATATGTAGTAAAAAATACGCAATAACGGTTATGTTACTTAGCAAATAGCTTTTTTTAGCTTCAGAAAAGATTCACATACACACTCACCCAATTACAAGTCCAGCCTTTCTCGTTTTGAGCCCTCGAATTCCTTAAAGTTAGCTATCATTAGCAATGTCTTTCGCATTTTTTTTTTTTTTATAAAACTGTTGGTATACACATGCGTAGCTATGTGCTTTGTGTTTTGTGGTTGTTGTAATTGTTATTGGCTGTCACATTGATGACATCAAAGTTTTTCTGAACTTTGCCACTTTAGCCAACAAGAAGAAAGAAAAAAAACTCACAAAACTACAACTATGAAGTTGCTGATGTGTCGTCATAACTCTGATTGCCTAACGCTCCATTTATAATTTTCTTCTTTCCTATTTCTTTTTTGTTTTTTCTTTTGTTTCGCTCAGCCTGTTCCCGTCTTGACTGAAGCTAAAGCGGCAACTTAAAATATTCTACACACGCTCAAGTACTACAGCAGTCTTCGTTTGAGACTATGAGACGATGAGGCTGCCCCTACCTCGCTGTCTATCCAGTCTGTTTGTAATCAACGATAAACGCGCCCCCGGGCGACTTCTTGTATGATAGCTACTTACTTGTAGCTCGCTTCGAACAGCTCATGGCAGCCTGCTCATAACTTTAACATTTTCTTTCGCCTCACAGCGTTGCAACTCGCACATTTATTGCCATTTTTTCATACTTTCATTTTACGCTGCCAGTTGCTTTGGTTCCCAGCCTCTACGGCCTCTACATCTCTTATTATTTTTCCATATAATTTTGCTGTTTTTGGCATATTTTTACGAACTTCTACTGCTCTTCTTCTGTTCGTTCTTTTTATTTGCCATTTTATTTTTATTTCATTTTTTTTTATTCCACATGTGTGCGCTTTTTTCTCACACACTGTTTTGCCCATCACTTTGCTGACAATGTCGATCTACTTTCTTGCGCAGCCTTGTGTCTCCGTGCGAGTGTTGATGCTTGTGTGTGTGTGAGTATTTGTGCTCGTGCATTTGTGAATTTTTCATATCCTGCCTATAACAGGAAGTCACAACGAATAAAATTGATATTAAGTTATGGCTGAAACTTTTATTATTATGCATCTATCATCGTTGCTAAGTTCAATATGGCCTCCTGACTTGGCCATAAACTGACAAACATATATAAATAATTCCCAACGCACATATGCATGTGTATTTAAATGTGTGTATTACGCAACACACACACACTCCCATCGATTTGACGACTGCCACCTGCTACTGCTCCTTCGTTAAGCTACTCCCTGACAAACTACCGTCGCCATCTTCTGCACTGAGCCGTATAAGAACTCGGAAAGTCGTAGAAAAACAATTTTGAAGTTAAATTGTTGTAGTAGAAAGGCTCATTCTTGTATTTAGCCGACGTTGGGCAATGAATGAAATTGCACGCTAAGTGTTTTATTAAATCGAAACTGATGATTTGAAACTTTGCTTTTTTATTCATTAATTTCTTCAGCAAAATATTTTCTTCTTAATTTTGCATAAGAAGTCTAGAAAACAACGAGATGTGAATGAAGTTCAGTTCTAAGTATTTCACCAATACCTTCAAGGCATATTCTATGAATTTTCCTCCTCGTCTCTTCGTTTAATTCATAAGCAACTGCAGAAACCGTCTTGTCCACTGATATAGCCATTTATAGGTCACAGAACCAAAGTGAGTATTCTAGCGGTGGGCCGGAAGGTAAGAGCTCGATCTTAATTCAGGCAAACAACAAAACAATATATTTTTTATACGGCTACTACTCGACAGAGAACTTCAACATGTTTTGGTTTTTTCTAATCCTTAAAATACGACAGCCCTTTGGAGATGACTAAGAACTGCAAATATCGTTATTTGTAAGAAAAACTTCAAGAATTTCTCCAATTTCATATAATTTCCTTAGATGGATATTGTGATTACCTGGAATGCATTCTGCACCACCTTTTTCGAAACTAGCAGCTCATCCTCTGCTAAATTTGTGGTCGTGCAGTTGAGGATCCTTTCTTGACAATGAAGACGAGATGATTGCAAGGTGGAACATTACTTTCTCTTTTCCGGTGAAGATTTTATATTTCCACTTCTACTGTTACTTAAGGGCTCGAGGTTATGCACACTCTTCGCTTGTAGATTTTTACAGATGATTACAAACGGCCTTCTTTTATCTTCTTCTCCTTGACTATTTTTCGATTATGCTAATTTCGAAATTCAGAGTGAAGCCATTTGAGGACCACTCTGTTTTCACTTTTCATATGAGATAAAATTTGCAAAAATTTTAATGCATGCGGATGCTGTGAATCTTACAAAATTTTAATCTTCGGCAGATGGATCTTGCTTCAAACGGACTAAAACAGCATTGTTGAATGGTGCATATTAAATCGGATGACCCTAAACCTGAAAAACGTAGAGTTATATGCTCCTCCCGAAAAACTATACAGACATTTACTTACACAATATTTTGATATAAATTGGAAAGGGTTCACCATTTTACTGAGCTGGGTATCACTCCACCCCTCTAATTGATTTGACAGTCAACAAAGCCAAAAACAAATTGGCGTTGACAGAAAGTTGGTCAAAGGAATTCAATTCAAGATTAGTAAGGAAAATTCTGGAATACGGGTTGGCTTGTAGCCTGTGGTATCGCATCTACTCTAATAAAATGAATAAATTAATTTTTTTTTTTTGGACTTGAGGAAGTCGCATTGGGATCTAAATATCTAAAGTCGTTCAACACTTTTCAACCTCCCAACTCTTGCCAGTCGCAGAATGTCTGATGAAATTTTCATAGTTAAAATTGTAACAGCTTCAATTTTCAGTTCTCTTATTGTTTCTGAGGCGTACTAGTAATCGAACGGTCATGGATCGAGTGCGGGTTCGAAAGACATCCAAAATTATAAAATTACTTATTCCTAATTACGATCATCCTTCGGCAGACAGTGTCAAGCTCTCCGAGCGTATTTCTTACATGAAATAAAATCTCCTCATACGAACTCATAGACCGTTCGGAGGCGACTTAGTATAAACTGTAGGTCCCACCATTTGTTGAAAAAACTATCAAGACGTTTGCCACAAATTGAAGGGGGGAGATCGGCCGAAATATCGCTTCAGCGGCTACAAATCGCCGGTTATATGTATAGATACATATATAATGATCATTAAAGCCTATATTTTATTAGAAATGCGATAACATCACATTCATCACTATGTAATATCTTATATAATATTGGCTAATACGTCGCACGAGCGAAGTTTGCCAAAAACGAAGATATAATTGTAATTGCAACACCGATAAGTGTTGTGGCACAATGTGACGGCAAACCTCGTGTGCTGGACGCCAAGAATTAAATACATTTGCATATGTTTACATTATTTATATGAATGTATGTACGGATGTATTTAAGCCACTTCCTCCAGCACACAGTTGAACAGATAGCCGAGCCGCAGCAGCAGCTGTCACAACTTTTTGGCAAATTGCTAGCATATTAAGCGCAAATGGCAACAGAGGCCTTAGTGGTTTCATACTCTTTTGGAATAATTCAAAGAAAAAACTATATACAAATGTACATGCATATACAATAAGATATGACGCAGAGTCGTGGAAAGCAGTATTAAAAGCAGAGGAAGAAAATTTTAAATCTGCTGGCAAATTTATGACCACATTAACTTGAGCGCTTTTAATCGAATTTACCAGCACCACCGCGACCCAACAACAACAACGGTATCACATTCTGAGTACGCGCATTGCCAAAAATTCATTTGTGTTGCATGCAACAAATAGTGAGTGCCAAAAATTATCTTATTTTCGCCACACAACAAACAATATTTAAAATAGCAGCAAGAAGGAGAGGCGCAGAAGAGCGGAGAGACCGAAGGTAGCTCTGTTGCATGTTCTTATCTACATTTTGTCCGTCCAACAGACAAAGCATTTGCAACAATAATTAACTATGAACTCCCAACATTTTTTG